CCTGCTTTAAGAGGGGAGGGCTTCCACTCCCAGAATCCCCCAGCCAGGATGCTTTAAGAGGGGAGGACTTCCACCCCCAGAATCCCCCAGCCAGCATAGCTTGCCTACAAGACTGACTTTAGGGGGGAGGGGGGTGATGCCAAGACGCTCTGACCACCGGCTTTCTGGTGCCCCCAGGGGGGGAATGGCGGCTGAAGTACGAGCGGGCAACACGGGAGATCGACTTCACCAAAAAGCGGCTGCACCAGGAGTTTGAGGACAAGCTGGAGGTGGAACAGCAGACCAAGCGGCAGCTGGAGAGACGGGTAAGGGGGGGGAGGGGTCTTCCTTTGGGGTCTGTCGTCCCCATGGGGTTTTCTACCTGGGTGTGGTGGGAGCAGTGGGGCGATTCAACCACCAGTGTAACTACCAGCTCGGCGAGCGTGCGCAGCATTTAGAAAATACCATTTTTAGCTATAATAATACTCACCTTCTGCTTCATCCCAACTCATCAAACATTCCTCTCCCTGTTTTAGTAGCTGCCAGTAGTAGTAGTTAAAAAAAGGGGGAGGAAGGAAACCTGGAAGAGCACTGCAGCCATTTGGGAGCGAAAGTACATTCCAACTCTTCTCTTTAAAAGATTGTAACTAAAACTACCTGAGTTTTTGCCCGCGGATATATTGAATTGGAGAACGTGATTGGTGACACCCAGCCTGTGAAGGTGCACAGTTAGAGAATCTGGTTTATGACACACCCAGGAAGGAGGGCGGGAAAGAAGGTCACAGGGGACTGTAAATGACGTAGGGCAGAATTGGCTTCATACAGGGCAGGGCCAGCATGTCGCCTCCAACGAACCCTTTGAAGTTTTTTGAAGTTTGGCTCGAGGATCATGATTGAATTAGAGCAGGGGTGGGCAAACTACGGCCCGTGGGCCACATCCGGCCCGTTGGTCTGTCTAATCCGGCCCGCCTCTGAAAAAAATCGCTGGGCGTGGCGTGTTGCCCTGCGCCGCATGCCCCCCAAAGCTGCAAAACAGCGCGGAACGCTCTCGGGGTAGGAAAGAAAAGAAGAGAGGCACACAACGCCAGCGCCCGCCCGGCCGATGCCTCCGCCGAAGGCGGCGAGAGCAGCAGACGGGAGACCTAGCGGCGAAGTTTCCTAACTCGCCTCTCCATCCCTGGCCGGCGTGCGTCTCCCTGGCCTTTTATAAAATTGGTTCGGCCCTCGAACGCAGATCTGATTTTCCATGTGGCCCCTGACAGAAATTAATTGCCCACCCCTGAATTAGAGTGATTGCTGGAATCCTGACATTCACAAGCCTTGCACTTGCCTGGGATCCAAAACGGGCCACGTGGAGACTCCTGGGGGGGGGGGGTTGGAGGGGGCGAGGGCTTATGTCAACTCATCAAACATTCCTAGGCCTGTTTTAGTAGTTGCCTAAACTACTGTTTTAGTGGTTTAGTAGAATCTGATTTATGACACACCCGGGGTGGGGGGGGGGAGGAGGGAAACAGGGTCACAGGGGACTGTAAATGACGTAGGCCAGAATTGGCTTCATACAGGGCAGGGCCAGCATGTCGCCTCTAATGAACCCTTTGAAGTTTTT